CAAGACCAGTCTGGCTACCTAGGAAGTTCCAGGCCAGCCTGGGTTACACAGTGAGACCCTGTCTCAAAAAGAACCAAAAACCAAAAAGAAAAACAATAAATGGTTTTTGAAGAAATAGCCACATTAAGCTCCCCTATACTAAATGAAAGTGTTTCACTTAAGACATGTATCATTTAATGCCAATGATATTGAAACATTCACGACTGACCCACAGAATTGGAAAGGACTCTTAGTAACTGCACACAATCTGCATTGCAGCATTGGATAATGATCAGTGTCCACTTCCTGAGGCAATAGAACATTCTACAAACCTATGATGGAAATAAGTAAGCTAAAAGGCTTTGGATATATACAGTATAAATTTCATTTTTAAAAAGAAAATATATACATGAATAAACAGAAAAGATGATTATATAGTCACATTATATTGAATAATGGCTGTGTCACTGGGTAGTGGAATTCTGAGTGAACATTTTGTTGTGCTAGGGAAATATTTTCAAAATACTCAATTTAAAAACCAAAGAAACTTTCATCGATGAACTATTTTGTCCTGTCTTCACATTTTAAATGTTTAAAGCTATCAACCGACATGAATTTGTCAGTGGCTACCCACACACATTTTGATATAAGATCTTTTGAAGATGGAAAAACAGCAAGATTATGGCCATTAAAAATGATTTAAACACTAAATACTGATAAGGAACTTTTAACATGAGGATCCTATAGCTATGTAATTCTACAGGAAAATCAGTCTCTTAACATCCCATCTTTAAAAGTTTTTCTCCTTTATCATGCTTGATAGTTTTTAGGTACTGTCTCTACACTAGTTTGGATTGAATGTTAATTTCTATTCACAAAAATCTTTCTCTGCACCAGCAACAGCACTGCTACTTAAGTTACATATAAGTCATTTAAGACTAAGTTTAGATGTATTGCTAATTATACAGCAAAAAGCAAAAGAGCTAAAAGCAGTTTAGGTTAGTAGTAAATTAACTGGATTTAAGGGTCTTGATTTTTTGGAAGCCTGCATGTTAAATACTGGTGATTTTTTAATTCTCAATGGAAATGGTGATGGCATTCACTGACCCAAGACAGCTCAAATTACAGTGTAATGAGGACATGACATAAGAACAAAATGCCAATAAATGATGTTCTTTCAAACATCACCAAAATATCTTCTTACAAATCAAAATACTTACAGAATTTCATCAATGCTTATTTAAAAATCCTAACAAGAAAATTTGCGAATACATACACACTTCATACTTCTTTACATTATACATTATTCACATTTACTTTTCAAAAGTCACAGAAAGAACCTGTAAACTTGAAATAACATAAAATTCACTGTTACATAAATGGTCTGCTTTACTTTCACATTTGTACAAGCTGCATTTTACTTATCTTACTAACTTTAGATAGGCCTTAGTCTTTAAGCTTTTAAGAATATTAGAAAAACAAGATTAAATTCAAGTATAGTCCTTTAGACTATTCTGAATATCAATTTTTATATGGGACAGGTCATGATGAGTAGATGAAGCTTCCCATGTTGATGGTATAGAATCATAAAACAAGGAAAAGCCACAAAACTGAGATCTGAAGTATCAAACCAATTCTGGGAAGTATCTTCAGACATCTGGCTTAATAAAACAAAAATATGTACCATTTTCCGAAGAATCTTGAACTTTTCAAGATTAGAATGTTATTTAATGTGCTTGGAACAATTTTTTAAGTAGTGATTAAAGCCCCAAAGTGCTTTTCTTAACCACGAGTAGACAAATACTCACTCCCAAGATGACACAGAGGCCATGCTTTTAGAATAGCAGGCTTTGAAAGACAATATATATGTTGTGTGTACATGTACATGTGGTGGGAGGGGGGGACCGAAAAAAAAAAAACTTAACAGAACTTTTAAATCATATTTGACTGATTATTTAAAATTTCAATGGATTTAAGCAATCTGAATTATAAATACTCTCATTTAATAAAACACCCACACAATGACAAGAATGAGACTTTAATCAGTTTTAAGTGGAGTTTATAACACTAAGAGATAAAGGGTTGTTAACAAACACGAGAACAAATGGACATCTGATTGGTAGGAGGCATATGATCCTGTACATGTGTTTTTTTGTTTTTGTATCCTCAGTGCACAGCATTTACACACAGAGCCACTGCTGCACAACACAAGAGTGTCTGAAGAGGCTGAATCAGAGTAAGGCTGTTTAACAGACTGACATTTTTTAGTATATATATTCTATATGAAAACAGATTGAACTTTTGAACTGGCAGGTAGAAGGCAACTCTGCCAAATACTACAGTGAAAGCCCCCACTTTAGTGCACAGTTCCACCCCTTCCATCTGCATGCATGACACATTAACAGTATTTAAAGGTAAACGAGGCACTTTGTGGCAACCACAGCCATCGTTATGAACATATTGCACAAATTTTCTAGAACTAAACATGTAACTTGTACCCTACTTGTATTTTTTAAAGCTGAAACATTTGATGCTGCCGGTAAACTCCACTTAAGTTTATAACCTGTGCCACAGCAAAGAATGGTGATGCTATTTATTCAACTACCCTTTTTATAATTACAGCAAAAATGTCCAAGAGGAATTACAGAGGACTTGGGATGGTACAGGGCCCAACTGTAAGCTTTCTCGAAAGTGATGCCTTCAAGTAATTTCAGACATGTAAGCTGCTGCACATCCAAAAGTCTAAGAAAACATTCCAGAAACTTGGTAGAGATTACCTACAGAATGCATTTCAGGCTAATTATGAATACTGTCATAAATAAAGTTTTAATCAGGACTCAAAAACTTTTCAGTCATAGCAATTCTTGTCAAATTCTATGGGATGGTAACTGAAATAAAAGTAAGGAGAGTATGTATAATATATATTTATATATATATATAATATATATATAATGCCATTTTTCCATTTCCAATGACTACACCATAAAATGTAAGCAAGGCTTCTCAAAAACATTGAAACATTCAAAATCAAAACCCTCATTCAGACCTTCACATTCCAAAGGAAAAATAATAACAGTGCAAAAGCCCATTGTAATGTCATTACTTATGACCTGATCCTCTATGTTACATATTGGAACAATACAAGTTTATGTTTTAATATGCTGTGCCCCAAAACTGTAACAGAGAACAGGATTTATAACTAACTGAAAAAGATGAATAGTTGATTTCCATTTTAGTCAACAATTTTCAGCTTCATGAGAGACAAGGTAGCATATAAATTTCAATGGTCACATCTTAGGAATAGCTGTCACTAATGTTACCAATTTAACTTATGAACAGTCAATCAATATTTTATGTGTCAATGTTTATAAATGTGTAACTCCTAAGAGCTTTGTTAAAAATTTTAAAATTTTGTTGAATGAAACTGATGAGGTATGAAAAAATTTTTATGAAGAATATTTTAGATGAAGTTCTGCCTAGTCTAATTATCATCAAACTCTATAAATGCTGTCTAGTAGAGCCTGTGCAATATGTATTTGTAAATAAACTAGGTCAGACCACAGCTAGTGAACAATTTCAGCACCAATAAGTTATTGAAAATGGGACTTTACACCATGAAGAAATATAATGACTGGATATGCAAATGTCAAGATCTAATTTGAAAGACACAAAGTTCTGGGGAAAAAAAAATCCTTTTTAATATCTTCACATTACCTTTACAATAGTAGTTGTACTCTGCTTAGAACTGTATGCAGTCTGGGCATATCAAATATATGATGATATTTAAGTGAAAATTGGAGCCCTAGTCCCAACTGTAGCACTATGAAGAAATGACTCAACACTGCACATTAAAAAAAAAAAATTCTATTCTTTCAACAGCAAATCAGTAAAGCATATGTAGGACAATTACTATTGAAAAATTAAATGCCTTATTATTTGTGCAGTGTTGAAAATTTACTGCAACTCTAATTTCCTTTTTAACGCAATGTCTTTTTTAATATACACATTATATGTATTCAGTATTCAAGTAAAATTCCCTAACAGTTAATGACATTTAAAAAATGTGCAAAACTGCAAAACTCATTGTAATAGAATGTGTAAGGTCAAAAGGGTGGAACGGCTGACAGCTACTGGATTGAATAAGTGCATCATAAATCTTTAAAGAAAATAAAAACTTACTGTAGAATCTCAAATTGAAATTTCCTGTGCAGCATTACAAAATACTTTATATTTAATGAGAAGAAGAAAGCTTGTAGCCAGCACATGAAGCATCCATAGCAGGTATATGATTGAAAACTAATAAAATATGTGTAAGTCGTTGACTGATGTAGGTACTAATAGCATCTGACTTTCAGCACTGGCCTTGATTACACAGGAGATGGAGCAGTCATTACAATTGAGAAAACATATTTAATTTTAATAAATCATTGTCAATTTTTATGTTTCAAGCCCATTCTTTGTTGATAGCCTCCACATTTATATGGTTAAGTCATTGTTGCTGTGTTTCTTATTTATGACCACATTATTTTTATATCCCTTCATTTGTGGAATCTTAAGATGTTATAGAAGGTTCATTCCTGTACCCCAATACAGATTCACTCCCTCTAGCTGCCTTTTCTAGCACCAATATGCTGTAAAAAAAAAAAAAAAAAAATGCACAAACAACAAGCAGTGACAGCGGCCAATTCCTCAAATGTCCAGATTAATAACTGTAGCATGCTAAAGAAAGGTGTGTGTTAATAGCTGGAGATGGCATATGGTCCAGAATCCAGCATAAAATATATTCCTTTCTGAGCATTCCCTCCATTCTCCTAACCCAAATACATGCAATAGAATGTAGCAAAACCCTTTAGAAACTTCTCTTAGCCAACTGCAAACTTATCTGTTGCCACAAGTGCAAAGGGGTAGGATGTGAACCTATAATTCACAAAGCTCTTTAGCCACTTAATCGGTGACAGAACATAAAAGGGAAAATTCCTACGGATACGTATCAGTCTGTTTCCACTTTTATAAAACTGGAATAAAATGGGAAAGTGCCATCTTTATTAATCCTAATTGAATTTTAAATGTCCTTTTGACACAAAAAGGTATATACATAACACAGCTACACAACCTTTTTTCAACTGGACAACAAGTGTCAAAACCCTGTGGATGTATAGGGTAAAACGAGATTGGTCAGGAAAAAGAGAATTGTTCCTATAACTGGTAATCTGACACAATGTCCTATTGCCATTAAAAAAAAAAAAAAAAGGTCCATTTTCAGTTTATTCAAGTTTGTTTTCATGGTATTTTTATCCCTCTTGATAAAAAAAAAATCAGACTTTTGTAATCTGTGTATGCTGATCTTCATCAAAAGGTTCATTCTCTGGGTCAGAGTCAGTGGTGTCAGAGTATCTGTAATGATCAGGCTCATTGTCACTAACATCTGGCGTTACAGAAGTTGAACTGCTAGCCTCTGGATTTGATGGCTCTTCTACTGTTTTTGTGAAGTACAGCTTCACCTAGAGAAAGAAAATTTAAAATGAAAATCCACAATTATGACTAATCTTAAATTACTCAGGGAAGAGATATATATATATTTTAGCAAGCTCATTTTTAAGTACTATATAACAAACATGAACTTTAAAAGACAGTATCTTTTCTTGTTTGTTTGGTTGGTTTTTTTGTTTGTTTGATTCAGGGCTCCTATGTAGCCCAGGCTGGCCTCAAACTCACAATCCTCCTGTGTCAGCTCCCAGAGTCCTGGGATTACAGGCATGCACTACCACACCCAGCATGGTAACTATTTTTCAAATGAATTCTTACCAAGATTTCCTACATTTTCTTTCTTGCTATGTACTGAAAAAACTGGACTGTTAATAAATCTACAAAAGAAATGTAGATTTAAGGTCATTAAGAGTTCATACAATACAGTTTTTTCAATCAGAAAATTCAACTCATACATGGCTGAATTCTGAAAAAATGTTTCTCCTACTGCCTTTCTGAAACTGAGTGTATTTTCTGATATTGATGATACTATACAAACATACAAATACTGAGTAACAATCATGCTTAGGATCTACTTCATTTAAAGGAGAAAAGAGAAGGAAATTAACATAGATCATACAGTGGTCTAAAGAGTAGGTTAATGGCCTATACATTCCAAGTCAAAATAATTGTCACTCAAGTCTAACATATCAGGTATTTCCATTCTAAAGGAAAGGAAAGCCCAGAAAGATTAGGAAACTTGTTCAAGGTATGGGAAATCAGATTTGACTCCAAATCCCTTGCTTATTCTATACTCTCTCTCCTAATTTTTAAGTCATTATCAATTCTTCTCTTATAACCAACATCCACTTCATCAATAAATTCTTTAAGTCTACCTTCAAAATACCACAGATACATAATCTAACGGCTTCTTATAATCCCTCCCTGCTACTACTCTAGTCCAAGCAACCATCACCTCTCAGCTGAAATAAACCAGTCAGTAGTTCACTTATTTCCCGGCTTCCATTCTTATTTCTCCCTCCTCCCACCCCTACTTTCCTCACCAGTCTGTACTTTAAGGGAAGTAGGTGTAGTGAATGTCTGAAGACAAAACTCAGCTGACAGCTTCTGTGCACCAGGACTGATTTTCTTGTCCATTGTCTTTTAGTCAAAATGACTCATGCTACTCAAATGTATCAAGCTCATTTCTGTGTAGGGCTTTTTAATCTACTTTCCCTAGGTATTTGTTAGTTCACTCATTTCATTTAGGCCTCTTGCTTAAATATTATCCACTTGATCAGACCTTCTTTAACTATTCTAGCTAAAAAGCAACAAGATTATTTCCTTTTTGTTTTATAGTGCTGGAAATTGAACCTAGGGCCTTGCCCATACTAAGCAAGCCTCTACCACTGAGCTACATCACCAGTGAAAACTTACTGCAATATTAAAACATAAAACAAAACTAGAGGGAAAGATATTTTAAAAGCTAATGGTTGCCAGGCATGGTGGTGCATGCCTATAGTTCCAGCAACTGATGTAAGGCTGTAGCTGAAGGACTGCTAGTTCAGTGCCAACCTGGGCCACAAAGCAAAAGGCAATGAAAATCTATGGGTTATAAAGGACACTTCAAAACACTTAAAGAAATTTAAGGTCCAAAGGCATTTAATATGAAATCCATTACGCTTAAAACATGTAGCTCTCCCTCTCCATTTTAGGTATTACTAACAATATTCTTAGGCTAAGAAGCTAAGGTTAGGTTTCTTGCATGTTATAAAAACAATGAAAAAACTGAAAATCAAGTAAAATAAAAACAGGAAAGGGAAAGAAAAATGGCAAACACAATTTGGGAATGATTACAAATCAGGTTTTTAAATCTGAAGAATTCTTGTCTAGAAACAGAAATACGTACATATAATACACATACTCATACATATTATACACAGACAAAAATAAAACAAATCAAATAATTCCAAGCCAAATTATGAGGAAATAAAGTGTGTTTTTCTTTTTTAAGGGTATAGCAGGAAGGACAATCAGAGAAGGCTTTTCAGAGAAGACGAGATTGAAGCTATGGCTGCAAACATGAGGACAACCATGTGAGGTGTTAGGGGAAAGGCTAAGGGGGGAGAGATACAGGGAGAAGGAAAAGAATTGGAAAGACTAGAGGCAAAAACACAGTATTTTAGAGAAGTAAAGCAAGACTACTGTTGCTGAATGTCAGGGAACAAGGAAAGAATGTGGCTAAGAGCTACGGTAGGAGAAAGTCCTGTGCTAAATTATATAGGTCCTTGTAGTTGCTACAGTGTTCAAAAAGTTAACAGGAGTGATGCAGTCAAGTCTATTTTAGTGTCACTGAGTAGTTGAGAATACGATGAAGGGAAACAAGAGTGGAAGGGGTGGATACACTCTATACAGATCATTCCAGAACATTTGAGCTTTCAAGCCTTTTCTTCTTCTCCCATTCCTATTTCATATCCCACTTACTTAACTCCTCTCCCAAACTTTATCCCCAATTTCTCCAAACCATGAAAAGGAATCAGCTAGGGTGGGCAATGTAGTTCACTGGTAGAATACTTGCTTAACATGCATAAGGCCCTGGGTTCCATCCCAGCACCACTGACAGGGAAAATAAATAAACTCTTTGGCTGTCTTGACATTTCATCAGAAACGTTCAAGTAACTGGTACATAATAAACAGTACTTCTAAATAACACATAATTAGGGCTCGTGGAGTGGCTCAAGTGGTAGAGCAAATGCACAGCAAGCGTGAGGCCTTGAGTTCAAATCCAAGCACCACAAAAAAAAAGATAATCGAAGTAATAAATAATTTAGTTTAAAAAAGAGTAAAAGCAAACTCTTTAGCTATATATCTGGAAACACACAACGCACAAACAGTGTAAACACACAAAACACCACCAACTCCCCAAATGTTTTAAACTGACCTTAAAATTTGGAGAAAAATATCGGTTGGCCTTGTCTTTATTTGCTTTGTCGAGGTCATTTTTTGTTAAAGTAAGTACTAGATATTCCTTGTCATTATCTGCACGTTCTATACTGCAGATACTATCAATTTCTTGATCACATAGACTTCCATTTTCTACTTTTTCTGAGGTTTCCTCTGGTCCTGGTATGAAGAACGTATTTACCCAAAAGTGAAACATTTTATCCTAAAACAAAAGAAAAAAATTGAAACCAATTTTCTTTTTAAATGTATTTTCCACCAATATAAAACATTTGCCACAAGAAGTCAATATAATACACTATGTATCATTTGATATTTTGAATGATGGTAAACACAATTTGTGGGCTACCAAATTCTTATTCATTGATTTTTCTTTTAGTCAAATTTTAGACCAAAAATATAATCTTGTAAGACCTGAGATAACTTACTTTTGTCTAAAGTCATAAGCAAGATAGTTTCTTTTTGATACTAGGTTAAGTAATGTTTTGAATTTATGTGTGTGTAGGTATAAACAAAATTTAGGTTTTTTATTTTAATATAGTTCTTGGAAGGTTAATAAAACATCCCTAATCAAGTATGGCTGATAATCAAAACCCACAAACAGCTAGTTATAGTGGTACATGCCTGTAATTCTAGCACTTGGGAGGGGGAATCAGAAGGATCTGAGTTCAAGGGTAGTCTGGGCTACATAGTAAGTTATAGGCCAGCCCATACATATAGCAAGCCCTGTCTCAAAACACAAAAACAAACAAACAAACAAACAAAAAAAAACACAGAAAAAGTTCATCACTTCAAATCTTTCTTGACCAAGATAAAAATTCTGTGTGATCTTTTGATAGTTAATGATGATCCCTGGGACATCTTATCTGGTGTCTTCTATGCCATTTAAATCTTCTATTCTAATTTAGCTTCAAGTCCCCCCCACCCCCAAGAAGATGATAAAAGACTGTTGGGGGCCTTATGTCTCAAATTTCACTGTACCTTTTAACAGTACTTAGAAAGACAATCTTATATATGACAAATCTTTCTAAAAATTAATTTAAATTATTTTATCAGTCATTGCATTAGTAACTATATTTTACCTAAAAATCAAAAGGAAATAAGCTAACTTTCCAAAAATGTAGATCCCTCAGACTAATTATAATAAAACTGTTTTTAAATCAGAGTAGGCATTTAAATACAACAGGGAAAGTCACATAAAATGGAAATTCATTGAAATAATCCAAGATATACAAATACATTACAAATATTTAATCTTTCATTTTACTTGTGCTAATGTAAAGTGTAGATGATAATAATAAGGAATTAGCACACTTGGTTGTTCTTGGTCCCCCTTTCTGAGATAACCCACTTTTAATCAACCGAAAGTGTAATCTTTTGAGAATAGGAAAGCTCATGCTCTTTCTGTTTTTTGAACTTTGAACTCTGAGACCCTCAGTGACAGGGTTCAGTCACAGCACAAATGTCAATTCAGTGGTGAAATGATTTCAAAGCCCTGGTCTCAGGAGAAGGTTAATTTTCATTTGTGAAAACATAAAATCTTTAAGAATTTACTGATACTCAATACCCAAAATGCTTTTTTTTGTTGTTTTTTTTGAGACAGGGTCTTTATATGTAGCCCAGGCTGGCTTTGAACTCTCAATCCTCCTGCCACAGCTTCCTGAGTGCTGGGATTATAGATGTGCACTACCACATCTAGCTAAAATGCAGTCAGTTCTTGACCTCATCTAGACCCGCATCTAGATCTCCATTGTTAAATCTTTTTAGGCTTGTGTTAGGTATCTGTGAAAATTTTGCTTAAGTGTAAACTTCATACCATACTGTCAGTTTTTGTCTTAATAAAACTGTAGATTTATAATCCCGGGGGGGAAGGGAGTGTAATCCTTTCCCAATAACCTTTACTATTACTTTCTCTTAAAAAAACCCAAAAAACATTTAGCACACTCCTGGATGGGTCTGGGGATATGGCTCAAGTGGTAGGCAAGCAAAGCAACGCTGAGTTTAAATCCCAGTACTGAAAAAAGAAAGAAGAATTAGAACATCTCTAAAGGTACAGGGAAATGGTGAGCCAAATGTCTGTTTTTAAAAACGAAAAACAGCATTTTGTACCTGAGTCTTCTTATGAATGTAAGAAAAAGCTTTCTCTCTCTTTTTTTTTTTCTTTTTTTTTGGGGGGGGCAGCACTAGGGGTTGAAGTCAGGGTTTCACACTTGCTAGGCAGGCACTCTACCACTTGAGGCACTCTGCCATTCCCTTTTATGCTGGTTATTTGTGAGAGAGGGTCTCACACTGAATAACGAGGCCAGCCTGGACCAAGACCCTCCTATTTGTGCTTCCTATGTAGCTGGGATGACAGGCTTGAGCCACTGCACCTCACAAGAAAAAAACTTTCAAATTATCTTAATTTTGAAACAAATGCTAACATTTCCTAGATTCACAAAAAATAGTGTTTTTAAACTACAGAGATATATTTAATGTTTATTTTTACATAACAGAAGAAAATGAGTTTCTGGTGAAAATTATCACGTTAACATTTTGTGATTTTTCCAGCTACTTGGATTCTGGATAAAGGAAATTAAATTTCTTTTGATAAGTTAAATTAGGCCTACAATTCCTCTGGTAAACAAAACTTCCTCATATTATCTTTCTGGGGAAAAAAAGCCCTAAAAGCTGAGAAAATGAAATTCTCCTTCTAACAGTATCTGAAAATTGGCAATGCATTGTATAGTATGTTTAACAAGACAGTAAAACTACATAAAGGTAGTATTTTCCCATTACTAGTTACAAAATTTATACCTTAGAATCACTGTAAATGTTCATACTTAATATTTTAAATCAAGATAGTTTGTTTTATAATTGAGCTCTTGCATATAGCTTAGTAAATGCAAACTTGCTAATACTGTAAATGTACATATTTTAATTAAACACTACATTTTTCATTCTTTATTACTTCCTCTTCTGTCTTAGCTAAAAAAACTAAATATTCAGTACATCTGGGGACACTAGATATATAAAATAATTCAGACGCAAGAAACATAAATGGAGAAAATGGTATGTGTCATTATGTAAGACCATAACACATTTTGTTTTTACCTATGGACCAAAATTTTAAACTTATGGTCCCATGCTAATTTCTTCTCAATTAATCATGCTTCTAAAGAGGATTACACTTGACCAAATGACAATATGTATGCAATCATTCATACTTTTAAAAATTTCTTTGCATAACCCCCGTTAAGGAAATTTCATCTCATGTTACAAGACCATGCAGCCTTTTCCTTCTAACAGGATTATTTATTGCTATAATGTCTCAACAATGCCACGGTAAGTAAAATGTCTGCAGATCTAATGGAAAGCTAGTTTATAAGATGTTAATCGTAAAAAAAAAAGCGTATCTGTTAATCGTAAAAAAAAAAGCGTATCTCTTAATCTCTCCATACACAATGATTTCTACTTAACTAAAGACTTTAAGAACTGAGGTTACTCTTCAGGGGGTGACTATTTTTGACATTTTTCCAATAAAAGTAAGCACAAACCTTTTTTAGCATCTTGTTCTGCTTGTGGAAGAACTCTACTTTGATGTCACCACACACAGGCAATGGCTGAGGGAACTCAAAGTACATGAACTTGTCTTCCCGTCGTGTGGGTCCTGAATTGGAGGAATATATCTTCACCTTTAGCTGGCAGACCACAAACTGAGGATCTGCATGGTTAAATACATATAAGCATCATTTCACAGGAAACACTTTAAACTGTCAAACTAGTAGAAAACTATTTTAATGATCAAGTATCAGTAATATACACAAAATGGGAATTCTCCATTTGTACTCCTAGATCTAAAACAAATCAGTGGAAATAAATTGGGTAAAAAATACAATAAATGTAAAGTTTTATCCAATTTGAACCTTCAAAATAATTCTATCATATACTAACTAGTTTAACCTTGGGATTTACTGTATCAAAGCTTCACATTAAAATTATGCTAAAAATCCTATTATTAATTACTTAAGGCATAAAATTAATTTTTAACATTTTTCTAGCAGTTTTGTGAACTGCATAAATGATAACTTTTAAAACATGTTTACTGTACTATTGTCTCTAGCATGTCAAAAATTACATTTTCACAAAAGGAAAGAGAACATAACCCATAACAAAGTCATACTAGATTCCACAAACACAATCCTAGAAATTTTAAAAAATATTACTCCACAATTTGTTTTACTGATAGCATATATATTATTATAAAAGCATATAAAGTCACCACCATGAGAAAGAGCAAGGAAAATATCTGAAATGTAACAGACCTCAAGTGAACTACAGCATAGCCTTCCTTCCCTCCAAAACACTGCATTTTCATTAAGAACCATTTTGGCTTTGACCTATGTCTGTTTTCAAATAACTGGTAAAGTAAAACTTTTCAAAATTCACTATGTTTTAGGCTAGCAATTCAACTAAATGGAAGGTGTGGAAAGGGAAAAATTTGTTTTATTTTTAAAATCTACTCAAATTCATGACATTAATCTAGAAATAAGAGTTAATGTTTGCGAAGATCCTAGGACTTTTAAAAACTTAAGTTTACCTAAATAATTTGAGACGGTATAATTCATTTGTAATATACATGAACTGTTTGAAAACAAAAGACAATTGAAACAAACTATTAACCTTAGGCGGTAAGAAGTGGGTCTTGAAGGAAACATGCCAAGACAAGAAATAGAAATATTATTTATAAATACAAATTATATTATTTGTAAATAACATAATTAAAGAATATTATTTATAAATATAAATTATCAGCACCAAAAGGCATCACCATCCTTCAAGATGAAAAACAATCTCACATTTTTATCAATATGAACAATGACTGAGAACAAGGCAAAAGTCAAACCACTTCAAATGAAATTTCCAACTTAATATCTACTGGACATATAGTTAATATTTAAAGCAGTATCAGCAATCACATAGTAAATAGGAAGTTTGATAAAAACATGGGGCTTTTCTAACAGATTTGCAAGATACTAGCCATGAGAAAAAGCCACCCCCAAGGGGAAATATTATATCAAAAATGTATCAATAGATTTCATTTTTTTGACAAAAGGTTCAAAGTACAATGAGCCATTTTACAAGCCAATGTGATAATGAAAATTTTACTGGGAGGTCTAGCTTGAAAAAGCAAATTAATAAGGTATGAAGTTTCAAAGCTGTAATAAAATTAACCAGGATGAAAATGCCTTATAATCTTATTAACTGTGTTAATTCAGAATCTGGTAAGACACTGATGTTAGGATTAGAAAACTGACAGTATAAGCCAGATTTCAAATATTATATCTAAGATGTACATCTTCAAGAATTTTAGAATTGTTATAAACTATCGACAAGCTAATTATAAATCAAGTGTTAACTTAGAATATTCCCTAAAAACTAAGCTAAAGATGACTCTATGAATCATTCTCTTGAACAGGACTAAATCTTTGAATATAAATGGCAAAAGAGAAACTAAATGAATCCCACTTGATTGCACTACCACATCTGGCTTATATAAGTAACATTAATAGTTTTATTTCCACTACTTCTTTCCTCCTGCAATCATGACTTTTTACATGATTGTCCTTAAAACACAGTTCAGGCCTCCAGTGTTACGACAATGTAGTATTTATCACCTCAAGTCGGAAGTCCCATTCAAGAGCCTCTAACAGTCATCCACATATACCATTCCTGTTCTATTCTTGCCTACTATAATACATTTTTTTCTGCTGTTGTAGTTAAAGTTATTTCTTATTGCCTATCATACTTCCTGCAGATTTAATCCCCTTCTAAACTGTATGCTTTCTCCAATGTTCATTCAATAAAGAGCTGGTAGACTTCCTTCATGAAAGTGACTGACAACCCCTAAAACCTTCTTTTTGTGAATAAAGGATTTATAATTTATGCATACAATCTCCCATTTAACAAAATATTGATTGTATTTTAATATAGTTTTAATATATAATATCAAATCACAATGTATAAACAGAGAACCAGGAAATTAGGAAAGATTTACAATGAAATCTATATTACATGTAGACTTAAAATGTAAATGTAATTCTGCAAGACCAAAAAAGAAAAAGAACAAAACAGTGGTTCAAATACAAGGAGGTAGAACAGAACTGATGAGAAATCTTACTGACCTGAATACTGAACTGAATGTTCTCTTTCCCTTATTATCTCTATAGTACCTTTAGTTTGGCTCTTATACTGGTATCTATACTACAGGAAGAGCATTAAGGGCATGAGGGGTTTTTTTCCCATCCTTTCTCTTCCATGAATCTGGGAAGTTTCTATGTCAATCACCTCCAACAACCCAGAGCCTTGCACTGAGCAGTTTTAAGACTGTACTGCAATGAAAAAACATCAATGAGGCTCCCCTGGAAGCCTTTAAAAAAAAATTTTTTTTTTTCGGTACTGGGTCTTGAACCTTGAGCCGCTCCACCAGCTCTATTTTTGTGAAGGGTTTTTCAAGATAAGGTCTCACAGAACTGTTTGCCCGGGCTGGCTTCAAACCAGCCAGATTCTCCTGATCTCTGCCTCCTGAGTAGCTAGGATTGCAGGTATGAGCCACCAGCGCCTGACACCTTGGAAGCTTTTAACATGCTGTATTAATAAGTATGGGGTCTTCAAAAGACTTGCCTTGTCCTTAAAATATTAGAAAGATCTGGTAATGGTGGTTATACCTATCTGACAAAGATAAACAAGTTTAAGAAATTAATTTTCTAGGTGTAAATTAATTTTTAGAGATAGAAAAAAATTTAGTTGCATAATATTTTCAAGAAGCAAAAGCTTAAAGCTAAAAGTTAAAACCACTAAAAACTGCAAAATCACTGAAATGATATTAGAGGCATTAAAAGAAATAGTAAAGTGGTATCTTATCTAGAAACTATAAAATTATACTGTAAATACAAATAAAAAGCTATTTCAATTCTTAAATATGAAAACATGATTGACTACTTCAAGGTGATATTTAAATGTCAGTATTAAACACTGTTATAGAAGAAAGTAGCAGCAGTCTGCTGCTGAATAACACTTCTTTCCATAATTCTTCCTTAATTAATGCCTTAGGTTCAATTATTAAGCTTGCCATCAGTATAGTTAAGAACTCTAGCCAAGAACAGCAGAGAAGGAAAATAGGATCAGGATGACTGAGCTAGCTAGTACACTGAGATAGGAAAGAGAAATAAATTAGAGGCAGACGTCAATGACATGACCTGTACTTAGTACTTATCTAGGAGGTTTCAGATTTTAAAATCTGTTCATTTTATTGACGAGCAAACTCAAAGAGAAGTACATGATATGCCTTGGTTACACAGCACATCAATGACAAAGCTAGTACTGTCACCAAGATCCAAATTGAGGTTTTCTCTAATACTCCACACATTCTGACTCTGTCTTATTCTTTACTCATTGTACTTGCTACCATAACTTACCACTTCTTTCATTTTCATTGCCCTGTCACCGTCTTCCTAAGATGAAGGAGGAATTGGTTTTCTGCCCAAAGATTCAAAGATGAATCTTACTATCATTCTCACACTGGATCTCTGATGCAGTTTTCAGTCATCTGGCAGAACTTAGGCTGCATTTGGTGGTTGTGGCATAAAATATTTCTTTCATAAATATAATTTGGTTTCAAAACCATTTAACAAACATTGTCCTTGGCTTCCCAATGAACTGAACAACAGAGCTAATTAAATAATTCCAATACTTCAGAAATATACTATCCTGCATAAATTTCAAATGTGGTAAATTTCTTTCTAGAGTTTTACACATACTTCTAGATATGTTAAGAAAAGTGTTCCAACACATGGAAGGATAAGAATTTAGAGCACTTACTGCAAGTTCCGCCACTGAACATTGGAATAGTTTCAAACATCATCTTGTGAAACAACAGTGCCACTGGTCTATAATCCAGGTGATTCTTTAGCAGGTAGCTATAATAATACACATAGCGCCTCTGACTGGGAATAGTTACTCCCTGGTGGACAGAAAAAAAAAGAGAGAGAAGAGAGAGAGAAGCCAAATTCAAAAGAAAAGTTCCATTATTGTTATTTCAATAAATTGCTAATAAGTGAGTTGTACCCATTTGAAGAACACATATACATTAACAATTTGACCTTAAGTGCATTATATTTAAATCCAACCTAATAACAGAGAAAATAGAGTAACATCAATATGAAGGAAAATATTAGAATAACAACTTTTCTTCCTTAAAATAAAATTATAACACCACATTTATTCAAAGATCACAACAATGCCCTGACCCATGAACTCAATAAGCAAAGGCTACTATGAATGCAAAAGAACTGTCAAAGGCGTTTGCACTATAGCCATGCTCTTTACACTCACATCTCCCTGCAAGGACTTCTGGACTCTTATTAAGCAAACAATTCCTCACAAATTTGGTTATCAACTTCCCAAGCAAAAGCATATCAGAATCAGCAAGCCAGACAGAAGCACACTGCCTTTAAGAGGCACAAACAGCAGTGGTAAAAAGTGATGTTTATTTTAGAGCCTATCAAAAGTGGGAATATGCAGCTAACATAATATATGAACACAACAACCCGCAAACAAAGGCACTTAAAGATGTTTCTGTTCTACATGCATCTCTTTGTTGAAGAAACTAGGGAAGTACAAAAAGGTTTAGAAAATATTCAGTACTACAAATGCTTACAAGATTTATAATTCATGTGGGATTTAAAAGGGGAACCTGAGTTATCTAAGAAAAAAAAAATCTCACATGTACAACAATGCATTCACTAAAGATGCTCAATAAATAAGGTCTAGGAATGCTTATCTAAGTTTCTTTTGTAGTATACAATGAGACTTAAGAAATATTCAACTTAGAAATATAAAGCAAATAATAAACATTAAGTTTGACAGTTAAAAGTGACTTGCAGAAAACAGTACTTTAAAGTATATACTCAAGAGGAAAAGGAATTCACAATATTTCCCCAATGTGCTGAAACTCTAGACAGAAATATCTTCCCCCTAACAGAAAGCATAAAACACATTCATGTGAATTTTACAACAGGTATGCTAAATGACAAGTATGGGGCATTCTCAGTAAAATTTTAAAGGTCCGCATGATTTATTACAATTATATATGCATATACAAAATATAATGTAATATATAACAATATGTATGAGCATAAAATGATATAACCATATATTTCATAGTCTGACAACCCGGATTTGAATGTTGACAGTCAAAACACAACACCAGTGTACAGGAAAATATACTGTTCCTTCTTAACAAGATTCTCATAAGGATCAAACAGTAAATGCAATTACACAAAACCATCTGCAAAGTACAAAATGATATACAAATATTAACAGTTTTAGAAATTTTACCTATACTTAAGGTGTAACTTTGGAATAGCTGAAATTTTATTTCTATGTATTTTTCTTAAAGAAGTGGTAGTAAAGTAGCACTACTTTGAAGAACTGTTACAGAAAATAATGTTTAAAAATGTTTAAATTTAACTTAAAATGGTTTACTGTACCACATTATTTAATGCAACTTCAGCAAGCAATTTGTCATTCATGATTATGAAGATAAAACAGCATTGCTAAGTGAGCTGGGGGAAATAGCAGATGGAAGATGGAAGGAAAGTATACTTTTTTGAACCAAGTGAACTTTTGAGTCTAGTCAAACATTAAATAAATTTAAGAAGTTTTAAAATCTATGCAAAGCTAAGCATGGTGGTGCATGCTTGTAATCTTTGCACTCCAGAGGCTGAGGAAGGATTACTGAGTTAAAAGCCAGCCTGGGCTATATACCAGATCCTGTTTCAGAGTAAAACAAAGTCAATCAAAGTCTGTAAGAAAAGGTCATCAAGTTATTGTTTGTTGGGGTTTAGTGAATGATAGATATTTATCTATGTCCATTATTGGTATAAATTTGTATGCAATAAACTCAAGAAGCCTATTTTTCAGTCCTGCCTTTCATTAACTCCAAAGTCAATGCTCAAAGGGATTTCTCAAAGCATCCCTTCTGTGAAAATACTCTAGTTCAACTCTCCTGTTATTCTCCCTATACCTTCCCACTGACTCCCTCTATTCAACAGCTTTTAGTACATACTGTTGTGTCCTAACCTGCACAGATGTAATGCATTTTGGTATTGTTGACTCGTATTATTCTCTTTTCCTTTCCCTCCTCCCCCCGAGTTCCATATAGTAGTTCTGCTATTACAAACATGTTCTACATTTAAGTTTGTATAAGATCATGTTTGTTTTTGTGTGTATGTTTACCTCGTTTGTGTGTATGTGGGTACTTGTGAGAGGGAAGGGTGAACTAAGGAGATGAAGGTAAGGGAACATGGTTTCCTAATACATAAACAAAACAGAGCAGTGAAACCTCTTGCAATTGTAATTAAGTGGTTTGCAAGGAGGTTGGGGAGATCTAACCATTCAGAATTGTCACAAAGAAGAATCCCCCTTGTACAACAAATATATCCTAGCAAAATGGAAAAACAAATCTCAAGAAGCAAGTGATTGGTAGTATACATATAGTGGATGTTTGATTAATCCTTACCAAAAAGGGCTACGCAAACATAAATACACAAATCTGCTACTTTTCAATACTGGGCCATTAATTTATGTGTGAGTATCAGCTGGACCAAAATTACAAACTTCAGAGCTTCAACTTAACCACTATTCTGCCATCTCTTCTGCTAGAGGAAGAAAACATAGCTGAGAGACAGTAGTGATTGATACATGTAGGGTTATAGAAAAGGGAAGTGAGGGAAGTCCAGCAATATGGCAAAGGTCTAGGCAACAGTAAAGGTCAGATATGGGTATGCCAGTCAGCATTGTAACTGACACACACATATGCACACAAGTGTGTTGCATACATATACACACACACACAAAATGGGAGACAAACTAGAGATTAAATTCATTTAGAGTACTTCATCTTTGATCCTTACTATCTATTCATTTACCAAAATCCAGTTGTAGATGACAGTTCTAGTTTGCTATACCCTTTCTATTTCAATGTCTTCCTGTAATTTTCTAACAGACAACTGATTATCAAGCCTCTGACTGATTTATTCTCCATCTATCTCTTGTGCCACTCCAGGATTAATTTTATAGAAATATAAGATGAATCACATTACCAACTCAAATATTAGATGGTATCCTGGTAACCACCTAAATAAGAACAATTTATTGCACACTGCAGCTCACATAAAAATATAGTCCCAACCTCTTTTCCCACTCTTCTTCTCACAATTTCCTTGCTTCTACAATTACTCCTACTTTTGGCCAAATCATTTAATTTGGACTTTCTGGTTTTCCCTCTTTTAAAAAGATACGCTATTTTGGACTAGAGTTGTGGCTCAAGCCATAAAGTGCCTGCTTTATAAGTGTGTTCTGAGTTCAAACTGCAGTACTACCAAAGCCCTGAGTTCAAACCTCAGTACCACCAAAAAAAAAAAAAAGTTCTTTATCAGATTAAGATATAAGGGTATGTTAGCAGTCACCTGCTAAGTTTTACACGGTTTTAAACACCTGAACCATTTTCAATGTCACCTCTTCAATACAGTTTTTATCTCCTTTCTTATACTTAAAGTGTGATTCCCTTTCTCCCCTATTCTCTTTTTCCCTTAATTGGCTTTAAATGAGATATACTGATATTACTGGCATTTTCAGATAATCAATGACTTATTAGTTCAAATGTTTTATTACTGCTTCCTAACTCTCTAATTTCTATTTTTGTTCTTATCAATCCCTACTTGTTATTAATCTTAATAATCTCTAATATGAATCTGTATTTCTTCATTGACTTGAAAATTGTTTTTAAAATGTGGCTTTAAATTTCCATAATGATGTGAATGAAACTTTTAATAGTTTATGGAATTATAATCAAGAAATGGGGCTTATATATTTACCACCTACATGTCTTATTTTGTGCCTTCTTAAAGCATTCTAAAGATTTCTACTATCATTTCTACCAATTTTCTTCTTCACTTCACTCAGATGCTACTTAATATATTTTGATGTTAGTTCAGCACATACAATTCATAACAGCAAAGTGTTCATATGGAGCATACCTTCCTTGAATTTGTATAACATTTTTGACTCAGTTTTATGCTTTTTGCTTTGGGTGCTACTCAGATACTGAGGTCCTGTAGTCTGCTTTTGAAATTTACATTTTCTTAATAGATCTTTAATCAACTATTTATTTTTAATGCTGAGTTATTTGATGTAAATCTCTTACATATGATTAATCTCTTAAAATAAAGAGAGACTGGAAAGAATGGGTTATACACAACTTTTAAACCTAAATACTGCCATAATACTATCAGATTAGATTATCATCTTGTACCACAAAATACGTTTGTTCATATTCTATGCATCAACACCCTGACATCACCTTCTCTAAGACAAATTCATAATTTCTCAGCTTAAAAGGAATTTTCTACTTTAGTAAACTTTTCCAGTAAATAGGAAAACTTTGTCTCACCTCTAAAAAGAAATAAGGTGTATGTTTCAACCTAATAGTGGTAGTTTGAAGCTTAGAAATCTACATTTCAGAATGATCACAGTAAGATTAGTATAGGATAGTAGTTCAAAAAGGAAGAAAACATGGCTCTTAGAACTGGCTTATTATTACAATGACAACATACAACAGTAGTTATTGTAGCTACTTGCCAATATTCTACACATATTCTTAACAGGACCACAACTTTACAAGGTAGATATTATCATTTTTGGGATTTTTTGTTTGTTTGTTTTTAATGTATCTCTTTTTATTTATGTAGCTCAGGATGGCCTCAAACTGGATATCCTCCTGCCTCAGCCTCTGAAGCACTGGGGTTATAGGTGTATACAACCACACCAGAATTATCACCTCTATTTTAAGGATAAGAACAGTCTCACGGCACATGTCTTGTTCAAAATCAAGATCTGGACCTAAATGTGAGTCTGAGTTTAAAACATTTATTCAGCTGCCTGGGTTTTACTAATAACAGA